AAATAACATGCTACTAAACAATGAATGGGTCAACCAAGAAATCAAAGGGGAAATATAAAAAATACATGGAGACAAATGAAAATGAAAACACAATAGTCTAAAATCTTTGGGATACAGCAAAAGTTGCTCTAAGAGGGAAGTTTATAGCAATACAGGCTTACTTTGAGAAGAAAAATCTCAAATAAACAACTTTACACCTATAGGAGCTCAAAAAGGAAAACACAACTCAAAACCAGCAAAAGGAAGGAAATAATGAATATTAGAGCAGAAATAAATAAAATAGAAACTAAGAAACAAAACAAGACACAAAACAAAAACCCCAATAGAACAAATCAATGAACCAGAAGTGGGTTCTTTGAAAAGATAAACAAAATGATAAACTTTATACCAAAAACTAATGATGTAATATATGGTGATTAACATAACAATAAAAAAATTTTTTTTAAATGATAAACTTTAATCAGACTCACCAAAAAAAAAAAGGGAAGACTCAAATAAACAAAATCATAAATGAAAGAGGAGAAATAACAACTGATACCACTGAAATACAAAGGATTATAAGAAAATATTATGAAAAATTATATGCCAACAAATTGGACAACCTAGAAGAAATGGATAAATTCCTAGAAACATATAACCCACCAAAACTGAAGCAGGAAGAAATAAGAAAATTTGAACAGACTGATTACCAGCCATGAAATTCAACCAGTAATCAAAAACTCCCAACAAACAAAAGTTCAGAACCAGATGGCTTCACAGGCAAATTCTACCAAACATTTAAAGAAGAGTTAATACCAAGTATTCTCAAAGTATTCCAAAAGACAGAAGAAGGAAAACTTCCAAATTCATTCTATGAGACTATTACCTTGATACCAAAACCAGATAAAGAAACCACAAAAAAAAAAAGAAGTATGGGCCAATAACTCTGATGAACATAGATGCAAGTCCTCAACAAAATATTAGCAAACCGAATCCAACAATACATTTAAAAAATCATTCACCACAATCAAGTGGGATTTATTCCTGGGATACAAAGGTGATTCAATATTCACAAATCAATTAACATGATATGTCACATGAGTAAGAGAAAGGATAAAAAACATGATTGTTTCAATAGATGCAGAAAAAGTATTTGACAAAGTACAACATCCATTCATGATTTAAAAAAAAAAAAAACCTTCCACAAAGTAGGTTTAGAGGGAACATACCTCAACATAATAAAGGTCATCATCCTCAATAATAAAAAAAAAAAAAAAAACTGAGAGCTTTTCTCCTAAAATCAGGAACAAGACAAGCATGTCCACTCTCACCACTTTATTCAACATAATACTGGAAGTCCTGGACATAATAATCAGATAAGAAAAAGAAGTAAAAGGCATCTAAACAGGTAAGGAAAAAATAAAAACTTTCACTATTTGTAGATAACATGACACTATATATAGAAAACCCTAAACTCCACCAAAAAACTATTAGAACTGATAAATGAATTCAGTAAGGTTGCAGGACACAAAATCAATGCATAGAAATCTGTTGCATTTCTATACACTAATAATGAAGTAGCAGAAAGAGAAATGAACATTTACAACAATCCTATTTACAGTTGCACAAAAATAATAAGGGCACCTGGGTGGCTCAGTTGGTTAAGCATCTGACTCTTGCTTTCAGCTCCAGACTTGTTCTCAGGGTCGTGTGTTCAACCCCGTGTTGAGCTTAAAGATAATATAATAATAATAAAAATGTCCAGGAACTCAACCAAAGGGTGAAAGACTATAAAACATTGATGAAAGAAACTGAAGACAATACAAAGAAATGGAAAGATACTCCATTTCATGGATTGGAAGAACAAATATTGCTAAAATGTCTATACTACCCAAATCAATCTACAGATTTGATGTAGTCACTATCAAAATACCGACAGCATTTTTTATAGAACTAGAACAAATAACCCTAAAGTTTGTACATAATGACAAAAGACCAAAGTCATCTTGAAAAAGAAGAACAAAACTGTAAGTATCACAATCCCAGATTTTAAGATCTACTACAAAATTATAGTAATTAAAACAGTATGGTACTGGCACAAAAAGATACATAGGTCAATAGAACAGAATAGGGAGCCCCCAAACAAACCCACAATTATATAGTCAATTAATTTTTGAGAAAGAAGCAAGGATGTGCAATGGGAAAAACAGAGTGTCTTCAATAAATGGTGTTGGAAAAACTGAACAGCTATATATAAATGAATGAAACTGGACCATTTTCTTATACCATACACAAAAATAAACTCAAAATGGATTAAAGACCTAAATGTGAGATGTGAAACCATAAAATCGTAGAAGGGAGCACAGGCAGTACTTTTCTGACATCTGCCATAACATTTTTCTAGATATGTCTCCTAAGGCAAAAGAAACAAAAGTAAAAATAAACTTTTGGGACTGTATCAAAATAAAAAGCTTCAGCACAGTCAAGGAAACAATCAACAAAACTAAAAGACAACCTATTGAATGGGAGAAGATATTTGCAAAGATATCTCTAATAAAGGGTTAGTATCCAAAATTTATAAAGAACTTATACAACTCAACACACACACAAAAACAAATAATCCAATTAAAAAATGGTCAAAGACAGGAACAGACATTTCTCCAAAGAAGATGTACATGTGGCCAACAGATACATGAAAAGATGCTCAACATCATTTATCACCAGGGAAATGCAAATCAAAACCACAATCAGAATAGCTAAAATCAAAAACTCATGAAACAACCAGTGTTGGTTAGGATGTGGAGAAAAAAGGAACCTTCATGTGCTATTGGGGGGAATGTAAACTGGTATAGTCACTGTGGAAAAACGTATGGAGGTTTCTCAAAAACTTAAAAATAGAATTACCATAAGATCCAGTAATTCCAATACTGGGTATTTTACCCAAAGAATATGTAAACACTAATTTGAAAAGATATATGCACCCCTATGTTTATTGCAGCTTTATTTACAATAGCCAAATTATGGAAGCAACCCAAGTGTCCATCAATTGATGAATGGATAAAGAAGTAGTATGTATATACAATGGAATATTACTAAGCCATAAAAAATAATGAAATCTTGCCATTTGCAACAACAAGGATGGATCTAGAGAGTATAATTCTAAGTGAAATAAGTCAGAGAAAGACAAATATCATATGATTTCACTCACATGTGGACTCTAAGAAACAAAACAAATGAACAAATTAACAAAGAGACAAATCAAAAAATGGATAGTTTAACTATAGAGAACAAACTGATGGGTTACCAGAGGGGAGGTAGTTGGAGGAATCAGTGAAATAGGTGACAGAGATTAAAGAGTACACTTATTATGATAAACACTGAGTAATGTATAGAATTATTGAATCACTATACTGTACACCTGAAGCTAATATAACACTATATGTTAACTATACTTGAATTTAAATAAATAAACAAAGAAACACACAGAAATAGATTAAAAGTACAAGAATGGAAAAAGGTTTACTATGCTAACATTAGTCAAAAGAAAGCAGCAGGGTCTATGCTAATAACAAATAATGTGGATTTTAGAGCAAAGAATAATACTAGAGTTAAGAAAGTCATTTCAAAATGACAGTGAGGTTGGGGTGTCTGAGTGGCTCAGTCAGCTAAACCTCTGACTCTTGGTTTTGGCTCAGGTCATGATCTCAGGGTTGTGAGACAGAGACCTGCATCAGGTTCTGCACTGAGTATGGAACCTGCTTAAAATTCTCTCTCTCTGCCCCTCCTCCACTACTGACACATGGCAGTCTCATGTGTGCTCTCTCTCTCTTTCAAAAAAAAAAAAAAAAAAAAATGAAAGTGGGGTTAATCAATCAAGAGGCAACTTGGTGAAATGGAAAAATTCCTCCAAGGACACAAATTGCAATGAAATAAAGGAAAACCACAGAGCAATATCTCCTGTGAATATATGTACAAAAATCCTAAACAAAACTTAGTATTTGAATCCATCAATATAGTAAAAGCCTAAGACACCTTGTCCAAATGGAGTTTATTCCAGGAATATAGAGGTGGCTTAACATTCTAAATACATCAATCAGTGCATTTCACCATATTAATCAACCTAAAAATAAAGATCACATGATCATCTCAATAGATTGAGAAAAAGCTAAGCATTCACTCCTGATATAAGCTCTCAGAAAACTGGAAATAGAAGGGAACTTCCTAAACCTAATAAAGGACAGCTGTGAAAAACCTATATGTAATATTATACCAATAGTAAAAAAAAAAAAATTTATGTAAAGTACCAGAGAGTAAATATATTAAGCTTTGCATGCCATATATATTGTTACCTTCATTTTTATTTTGTTTTAAAGAACCCATTAAAAATGTAAAAAAAAAAAAATTCTTTGCTTTCAGACTGCACAAAAACAGGCCAGACTTGGCCTAGGGGCCATACTTCGCTGACTTCTGGTCTATAGGTCTATATAAAAAAAATCCAATGAAATCTGTGAAAATTCTTCTAAAACTAATAAGTGAACTTAGTAATTTTTCAGGACACAAGATCAATATACTCAGTTACATGTCCATATACTAGCAATAAATAATCATGAATTAAATTAAAATAACAATACCATTTATAACAGCATCAAAAAATATAAACTATCTAGGAATAAACCTGGCAGAAGACATGAAAGACCTCCACACTGAAAAACTACACAATATTCATGACAGAAATTAACAAAGATACAAATAATTGAAGAGATTATACTTTGTTAATGGATTAAAAGACTCAATATTGTTAAGACATAATTTTCACTGAATTGATCCATAGATTCAATATAATCCCAACAAAAATTCCAGATTTTTATTATAGAAATTGACAAACTGATCATAAAATTCATATGGAAATGGAAAGGACTTTTAATAGCCAAATCAACTCTGAAAAAAAATAACTGAAGGGCTAACACTATTTTTTTTAAAGATTTTTTCTTTTTTTTGAGAGAAAGAGAGCACGAGCTAGGAGGAGCAGCAGAGAGAGAGGGAGAATCAGACTCCCTACTGAGCAGGGACCCCAACACCGGGCTCGATCCCAGGACCCTGACATCATGACCTGAGCTGAAGGCACACACTTAACTGACTGAGCCACCCAGGTTCCCCAGAAGGGCTAACACTATTGTTTCCAAGAATTATTAATGCTAGAATAATCACAACAATCGATGTAAAGTTAAACAGATAGATCAGTGGAACAGAATGTGGAGTCCAGAAATAAACCTATACATGCTGGTCCACATATGTTCAACTAATTTTCCAAAAATGCACAAAGGCAATGCAGTGGAAAAAATGGTTTCTTTTAAAATGATGCTGGTACTGTTTGTCATTCTAAGTAAACTTAGATCTATACAACACACAACCTATAATAATTAACTCAAAATGGATCATAAACCTAAATATAAAGCCCAAAATTGTAAAACTGTTGGAAGAAAACACAGATGAAATCTTTGTGACCTTAAAATAGCCAGATTTTTTTTAGTTACCACAACAAAACCATGACCCATTAAAGAACAAATTGATAAGATGGATTTCATTAAACTTTAAAATCAATGCTATTCAAAGATACTGGTAAGAGAATAAAAAGAACATGCCATGGACGGGAAGAAAGTCTTTGTAAAGCTTATCTAATAAAGGGCTTATATAGAGAACATAGGATGAACTCTCACAATTCAATATTAGAAAAACTTAAAACTCAATTTTTTTAAGTGGACAAAAGAGTAATAAAGAAGACATGCAGATGGCAAATAAGCACATGAAAAAATGCTCAACATTATTAATCATTAGGGAAACACAAATTAAAACCACCATGAATGCCACTACACAATTAGAATGGCTAAAGACTGGCCAATACAAGCCCTGACAAGGAAGTGAAGCAACTAGAATTCTCAACACTGCTGGTAGAAATATAAAGTGTTACAACAACTTTGAAAAAACTGTGTGGAAGTTACTTGAAAAGTTAAATATGCATCTACCATATGATCTATTCATTCTTTTATCCAAGGAAACGTAGGTCCATGTAAATACTTATATATGAATGTTCAAAATGTGCACAGTAACTTTATTTGGAATACCCCAAATGTCCACCAACAAATGAATAGATAAATAAATTGCTGCATATTTTTTAAAGGAATACTACTCATGTTATTAATGGTTTCCTTTGTGTACTCTAGGTAATTAACACTTTTTTAAGTCTTCCACAGATAAAGAGATGGGGAAGAAAAGAGGCTTGTTAAAATGTATCAATTTATTTTATTGAAAAGCAGGCATAATAGCTGCCAAGTCTTACTGATACATCACCAAAAGAACTAGTAAGAACTATGGTATTGAACATAAAGCATATGTTTCCACTTGCAATTTAAATTTTATTCATTCTATTTACAAAATCAAGAGATAATGATAGTGTTTACAACAAAAACTTTGTGGCTGTCAACATGCATAATTACAATGGGTTCACATCTAATTTGTATTTTACAGAATATTTGAGAATATAACTGCCATGTGGATTAGGGACATCTTGTAAACAGTTTTAATGGTTTCTTTTACAAACAAAAGGAGCATAAAATTGGGACAAAAGTTGTTATTTTTCCTTTTAAATATTCATGAGTGAGTGACCAAAATAACTTGCATAAATTCATGCACAAAATTAGAGAAATTAATAGTCATTTGGCTAATCAATTATTCTCTTTTTTACAGAGGAAATTTTCCAAATAAGCCCCCTTACACTAAAAGAGTAGCCTGCTCTTTGTGTGCAGAAGAAGAAACTTGCAAAGAGAATCTCTGCCGTAAGCAAAAAGGAAAAACAATAATCGTAACATTCTATTTGGAGAAGAGTTTCCATAAATTAATTTTAAAATTTGGATTCTCAAGTGCATAAGTAATTATTGACAATATTTGATTGCTACTATATGATGATATAAATCATTTGTCATAAATTATCATATTTAAACTCAGATGATCCCTCCCTTCTTCACTGATTATTTTTCCTCTCATGCTAAAGGACAGAAAGGAGTAAGGTATAACTGTGATCCAGTTTGCTACTATACTCAAAATATCTGTTCATTGAAATTTTTCTTATTTGTATTAATTATTAGTTATTATTATTAGTTATTATCAAAATAGTGACTCATGCAGAAGTAATACATTAATCAATGTGCAAATTAATTATGATTTAAAGCAAATATGTTTCTCTTCCATTATCAGTCTTTTGGCTCTCAGAACAAAGATTTTTTTTAAACGATAAGTGCATAAATTCTTGATTGAAAAAGAATTTTCAGTGACACAGTGAAGAGAGGAGATGATCTGAAAACTGTAAAAAAAAAAAAAAAAAGAAGATTTGGTGCCATGAAAGAAGACAGACACAAAAATAATGTATATTAAATGATTTCTTTATGTAAAGTTCAAATATCAAGCAAAACTAATCTACATTTGGAGTCAGGATAGTGGTTACCTTTAGAGAGCAAAGAGGAGTTAATTAAACAGAAGAGGATACCAGAAGGACTTTCTAGACCCATAGGTCTATGTTTACCTACATGTGTTCACTTTGTAATAATTCATCAATCTTTCCATTTATGAGGCATACATACTTTCATATTGATATTATACTTCAGTTAAACAATGAACTAGAAGTATCGTCCCTCTAATTTTAAATTTCATTCAAAGCAGTTTAAAAAATAAATCCAAGGGCACCTGCGTGGCTCAGCTGTTAAGCGTCTGCCTTCAGCTCAAGTCATGATCCCAGGGTCCTGGGATCAAGCCCCGCATCGGGCTCCCTGCTAGGCCAGAAGCCTGCTTCTCCCTCTCCCCCTCCCCCTGCTTGTGTTCCCTCTGTCGCTGTGTCTCTCTCTGTCAAATAAAATCTTTAAATAAATAAATAAATAAATCCATTGTATATCTCCTATTTGCAAACTAATGTTTTCTAGTTAAAGGGACATAAAGATAACAATGATACGCTTTTTTTTTTTAACTTCCCCTTCCTGCCCAGTATCCAACCCAGTTTCTTGCCTGAGCTAGTAATCTCCCACCTCTCCTCCTCCAAATTGTTTTACAGAAAGAAAATCCAGGCCAAATCCTTTTCTTAAAAATTCCTCAATTGCTTCTTACTCCAATTAAAGAAAAATATGACTCTATTCCAAGGCCAGTAAGTCCAGTTATGATCAATCTGCCCCTTGCTTTTCTCCCCTACCATTTTTGTTGCTGTTGTTATCCTCCCTTTGATACACTAAGCGCCATGATTACCAGCCTCAAATATTCCAACCTCTTTCTGAAATCTCCAGCATCTGGATCACCTGTGGGTCTGTTTCTAGTTTCAAGATTGTTTTGTTTTCTCTTGGTTTCCGTAACATACTCTGTTTCTTGGTGTGGTGAATTATCTTTAAAGATGGCCACTAATAATTCCTCCCCTCCTTTACACATAAGCCACTCCTCCCAAAAAAGTGGACACTATTTCTCCTTCTCTTCAATGAGGCCTTGATATTGTGCCAGTTCTGGGCCTACCCTTTAGAAGAAACTTGGCAGCTTCTGCTTTTGCTATGTTGGAAGCCTCCCAGATTTCAATTCCACACTTTCCTGCTGGAGAGGTCACATGGATAAAGGCCCTGGAACAGGAGAGGTCATCTTTCTGTTGCAACCCTAACTGAGCTCCAGCTAAATGCAACTACGTCATTGAGTCCCGATGACACTACACAGAGCAGAGTAATTGTCTTGTAGAGCCAGCCAATCCAGATAATTGTAAGAAATAATAATAAATTATTGTTTTAAGCCATCGTTCTGGAAGTTTGCGTCATAGCAGTACACAGCCAAAACACTTGGTGTATGCCTAATTAGTTTCTATTAAACATCTAACAACACATGTAAAACAAAAATGCAGAGAGTTCTACATTTTCCTCTGCTGAACAGTTAGAGTCAAGGTTGTTTACCTTAATCTAAACACAGCTTAGTCAACACTGGGTTAGAATTTATGTAAGGCTTGGTTCACCTCTGTTTGTCTCTGCTCTAAGGGCACAGACTTCCAGGGCTTTCCACTGAGAGATTGCTGTTTACTGTTGCCTTTCCCCAATAGGTTCTTAATTCTAATCCGTATTATTTTAGCATTCTGAAATTACTGAAAAATCTGCTTTGTTTTCCAGAAGGTTTCAGCCTAGGATTTTAGCCTCCTGTTCCTCATAGCTTCAAAATTAAACAAATACTTTGAGTACAGAATGGCCATCTCTTGGACTCATTCCTCCACCTTTACCTTTCACCAGGATCTTAAACTGCTCAATTCTCCTATTTTCTCCCTCTGGTCCTACAAGGCCAACAAAAGCTCCGATGGTTTCTGTTTCCCCAAAATCAGCCTCTGCCTGGGCAAAGCCGAGATTTTCAGCCCTAGACCTGGGCAGAAGATGAACAAATGGCTCCAGGGGAAAAAAAGACCGCTTTCATAACATCAGTCCATTCTCTGTGGATCTCCTGCTCTGAAATCTTGACCCTTCAGTCTTTGTTGCTTTAGCAAATCTCTGAGATTCTTAAACATTGTTTTATTGTACTTTATCTGGATTTTCTAGTTTTACTTAATGAGGACTTTTCTGCCATGAGTTTCTCCATCCCAAGATTCAAGCAGTTATTGACAATGGGTTTCCAAGAAAGCACCACACAAGCTGCAAAGGCTACAATAAGTTTTGCTACCTGGCAGGAGGTGTTCTCCCAACTTGTTTCTTTTCTAAATTGTTCAGAAATCACTTGGCTCTTCCTCAACTTTTGCTCTTGCAAATTAACCTTAGGATAACCTTATCAATTCCACAGGAGACCTTGGAATTACATTGAATTTATAAATAAATTTGGAAAGAATTAACATCTTTGGGGCGCCTGGGTGGCTCAGTCAGTTAAGTGTCTGCCTTTGGCTCAGGTCATGATCTCAGGGTTCTGGGATCAAGCTCCACGTTAGATTCCCTGCTCAGCGGTGAGTCTGCTTCTCCCTCTCCTCCCGGCTCCTGCTCTCTCTCATTATCTCTGTCTCTGTCTCTTCTCTCTCTCCAATAAATAAACAAATAAATAAATAAATATTAACATCTTTGCTCTGGTATGTTCCACTTATTTAAGTCCTATGACTTCTGATTTGTGTCTTCTCTCTTTTATGTTGATTAGTGTTTATATAAAGCCAATTTTTAGTTTTGTTGACTTCCTTTTTGAGAGATGGGAGCAGATTAATAATAGACTTTCTCCCCTTACTTTTCTGTAAGGAAACTTTATTTTTTCCTGAAAACTATTATATCCAAAGCCTAGAATTATGTTCAATACATAGTACACACTCAAAAAGTGAATAAATGAATGAAAGAAATTAAACAAATGATTTCCTAACCAACTGCAGGATGTTGTTAAATAGAGGGAAAAAATTTGATGAGGGAAAGACACAGAGCAAAATTTGGAGCCAAAGCCACATCAGAAGTGAATGAGATATTTAATGGAGGGCTCTGGGAACCAAAAAGTCAACATGAAGGAATTACATTCTCTTTCAGGGAATTTAAATGGGCATGGCAGAGTGCCACAAGTAAAGTCAACTACTTTATATAGTTTTGTCAATTGTAGTCTTTTTTGCCTTCAACGTGAAAGCTGCTCTAGAAATATCTGTTGACATGACTTTGTTGGCAGAAGGCATCATATAGATTTTTAAGCACTGAGGGATTTGTGGAGGAAGCTTTCATTTTCTTAAGTTAAACTAAGTTTCCTAAGTTTATCACCTTAGTTAAAAAACCAGAAAGGCAAGTGAATGCCTTTATTTTCTTAAGATTTTATTTATTTATTTGAGAGATAGTGAATGAGAGAGAGTATGAGAGGGGTGAGGGGCAGAGGGAGAAGCCGACTCCCCGCCGAGCAGGGAGCCCAATGTGGAACTTGATCCCGGGACTCCAGGATCATGACCTGAGCCAAAGACAGTCACTCAACCAACTGAGCCACCCAGGCGCCTGCAAGTGAATGCCTTTAATTCTGTAATTTTTTGTCTACCTTAGGTAATAAAGAATGTGATAAACTGGAAAGTACGTATCAAACTATTTCAATATTGATTCAATTACTTCCTCCCCTTGAAACTAAATGGAGCTTTTAACTGTTATGTTTTATTGACAGAATATCCAGATTGGAATCCATAGGGGAAGAAGGCACCTCAGCAGATATCATGTAATCCATTGTGCCTAGTTCCTGTTCTTCTGAGACTATTTTAATTATCATTTATATATAAGAAAAGTTCTCAGACATGACAATAAACAAGCAGTTTATGACTAAACATAACTGTCATCAGTTTAACTCTTAAAACTTCTACACTCTTATCTGTTATCTAAATTTAATGCCTGATTTTAACAAAAGATGTATTGAGTATAGAAGGGTAACTGTAAAAAAAGAAAAAATTAAGTTTTTTTAATGCAATTTTACATTGTATCAAGAGTCCCACTCTCTAATTTTCTAGATTGTCATTTTAGTTACAGTAGACTTAAAGAACATTTCAGGTATTAAATATTTTCCTTATATTCCAGTGGTTTCCTTTAAGAATATCATCAACATTATTCAGAAACAAAATGTTATTGAGGAAAGTTTCAGATAGCATGTAATGTCCTATCAGCAGTTGGGGAAATGGATAGGAACAGATTAAACTAAAAAGGAAATCAATTAAATTTTAAACCTTCGAAAGGTAAATGTATGTTCTTTTAGGAGATTTTAAAATGTGCCCTGTATAAAATAACAGAATATAAAAAGTATACCTTTTAAAACCTATACAACTGTAGTATAGTTAATAACACCTCTACAAACCAAAGAATCAGTAAATTCTGCCATTTCTTTTGTCCGAAGACAAAAAAAAAACACAAAAAACAACAGAAACCCAAATTATTCAATTAATTGTTTTAAAAATGAGTTATGTTGAATTGTTGACTTCTATGGGCTAAACTACCTAGATCTCTTTCTTCTCAACTAAAGCAACCACCAACTTCCTCCACTATAAGTATTAAAAATCATTTTTAAACAGAAATTTTTTTTTGAGAGAGAAAGAGAGAGCAAGCAGGAGAGGAGCAGAGGGAGAGAATGTCAAGCAGACTCCATGCTCAGTGAGGGGTCTGACATAGGGCTTGATCTCATGACCCTGAGATCATGACCCGAGGTGAAATCAAGAGTCAGATGCTTAACTGACTGAGCCACCCAGGTGCCCCTAAATGTATTTTTAACATGACTGAGAGTTGTTTTGTTTATATTGCTATATACCTAAGAATTTCCACATAGCTGGAGGATTGTTGCTATTCTTTAAAAAAGCCAAACGATTTTATATTTCAGATCTGTTTGTATTAGTCAAGGTTCTCCAGAAAAAAACAGAGAGAGACAGAGACAGAGACAAAGAGGAGAGGTTTTATAGAATTGACTTACACAACTGTAAGTTAGCAAGTCTGAAATCTATAGGGCAAGCTGGCAGGGTGGAGATTCAAGTAAGAGTTGCTGTTGCAGTCTTGCATCCGAAGTCTTGGAAATCAGGCAAAATTTCTACGTTGCAATCTGAAAGCAGAATTCTTTCTTCAGAAAATCTGTCTTTGCTCTAAATGCCTTCAACTAATTGGATGCAGCCCACCCTCATATGGAGGGTAGTCTGTTTTACTTAAAGTCAACTGATTGTAAAGTTAATCATATCTAAAAAAATACCTTTACAGCAATAGCTAGATTAGTGTTTCACCAAACACTTGCCACCATAGTCTAGCCACACTGACACAAAGAGTATCACCATAGTCTAGCCATACTGACACATAAAATTAACCATCACACTGTTATTTGTCATCATGTATATGGAATCGTTATATTTTTGGTAAACTATTGCTATTTGTTTAACTATTGCATTGTAAAAATTCAAATCCATAATTAATTACTCCTTAACTTGCAGTTTGAAATAAGCTAAAGGTAAACTGACACATATACATATATTTTGTATTATTTATTATTGTGTTGTCTTCGTGGATTTTTTTTAATTAAACTTTTTCATGAATAATTAAAATAGCCTCTGATTTTTAATATAATCACCTCTTTATCTTCTTCAGACACCTTATTCATTCAAAAGCATGTTTCCTTAAATCAGATTAATTTAAATTCTATGGAACACATAAAAATGAATTTTTATAGAATTATATTCTGTGATTTTGAAGAAATATTTCTCAGAATATTAAATTGGAACTGCTATGGAAACTTGCAAGTAGTGGTAGTTCTTAGAAAAGAGGGTCTCTATTTGCAGACTTCTCTATGCTTAAGTTGTGAACAGAAGCTTGATAGGTGGAGTGCCTCTGCCTTACTGAGTGGGGCTTCCCCTCATTGGCAAGAAGAAAAAATCCTGGGTCAAGGAGTTGTCTTTTCTATTCCTTATGATCGTAACCACAGACTCTTCAAAGGACATGTTGGGAGGCCTGACATCACTAGCAATTCTTTTACTCTGAGAAGATCTTGTTCTTAATAACCCTCCTATTTCACTCAGTTTGCAATTACTAAACAAACTGCTCTGGGTTTGGCCTTTTCAATTTACTGGAGGCAATTAACTCAGGATTTAAACAGTGCATTCTTTTTGGGGGATCCTCTTGTCTTACTAGGCTATGTTTGAAATTCCCACAAATTTGACTAATCACTTGGAGGTAAAGTGATCAGACTCATCAGTCTTAGCTGGGCCAGGTTTACCCCATTCTTACCCCCTGGGAAGGATCATAAACAGATGGTTTAAACAGTAGTCTCTATAGTTTTTTTTATTACACATCCCTATCAGTAAAAAACAATATATATATATTGACTGGTCAATAGTCCTGGTTCGCCTGGGACTGAGGAGTTTTCCAGGACATAGAAAAACACACTAAACCCAGGGCACTCCCTAACAAGTCAGAAGGTTGGTGACCCTATACTTAAATCAAAAGTATTCGTGTATCATTTAATTACATGTATTATGTGTACTTTTATAATAGAGCAATATACATTTTAAATACACAAAAATTGAACCTGAAAGGGATGACATAATAATGAATTAAAAAATAAGTGCTAAAGAGAGGTTTATGCCAGGAAGACGATAAGACTCAACTGATACTCAGGATGCCTGGGTGGCTCAGTCAGTTAAGTGTCTGCCTTCAGCTCAGGTCATGATCCCAAAGTCCTGGGATCGAGTTCCGCATAGGGCTCCTTGCTCAGCGGGCAGCCTGCTTCTCCCTCTGCCTGCCACTCCTCCTGCTTGTGCTCACTCTATTTCTCTGTCTCTGACAAATAAATAAATTTTTTAAAAAGAATGAACTGATATTGTTTGCTTGCACTTGTGTCTTTACAACTATACTCTGCAATTTCCTTTCAGCAAGATATATGATCATTTTGTAATGGTTGGCTTAGTTAAAACCCGGTAATATACTCTGTAATTAAATTTACCCAGGTTCATACACTGCAGCAAAAGAAATAAACAAATCCCAAAATCATCACTCCCTGTAGAATTACCATTTTTCCTCAGGAAAGCTATATACCACTTGCCATTGCTCCCTGTCAAAAAACGCCAAGGACTCACCTACACATATTGGATTTGCTCCTTATCAAAATAACTCAATAAATATGTATTAAAATGCACAAAGTATCTGACACCATACTACGGGTTAAAAATTTACTTTAGTCCTTGTCAATATAAGTAAAAATGAGATAGTATTTATTAATAGTATTAATTTAATAATAGTAATACCTAACACTAAGTAAGGTTTACAATGTGCCAAGCACTAAGTGTTTCCATATAATAACTATATAATCCTCTCAATAATCCTGTGAGGTAGATGCTATAAATTTTCCTTTCTTGAACTACTAGTAGGTTTAAACATATTTTTATAAACTTCATTCAAATTTACAAATATATTTTTTGAGAGTTAAGACAGTGTAAGGGAATGCTATCCTTTGGTCAAGGAAAGGAGTTATTGCATACATACAACCACTCTAAATAAATACTGACCTCAAGAATACAGAAGTAATATAAATTAAGGTGTCAAAATTTCATATAAATATTCCCAGATTTATATTCAATTTTATGGCTTTGACTTTTAGGCAGAGGCACACTATATTTTATTTCCTGAGGCCCAAACTCATCCTCGAAGCTGATTATATACAGTACATCTTATCTATATGTGAAAATAATAGATGCAGCATGAAATTTCCAGTTTCTGCTTTTTTTTTTTTTTGGTCAATTGCTTGCTTATCTCCTTCATTTATTTTTCTAATTGTGCTGTTCATTTTCTTAGGAATTTTAAATGATTCTTAAATGTACCTTGATGGCACTTCCATGATTTTAATCCTTTGACATCTATCTAGCAGACACCTTTCTCAGTTGTCTATTTACATTTTAATGAACTAACATCTATCTTTCCATTTTTGAATGTTGCATCTTATTTGTACCACCAATTTGGTTTTCATCTTATAACACTTCTCATGCACCATTATCATAATTTGAATTTTTGAATTATAGAAAAGATCAATCAAGTGAAGACTGACATAAAAGTGAAAGAATAAGAGTAAAGTAAAAACAGTATGTCTCCCCAATAACATCTCTATGGACAACAAAATAATCTTTAGACTTATTGCATGATCATTCTCCTTAAGTGTACATAAAAAATGTATTTTTAAACTTGCTAGTTTTTATCAAAATCAGAGTGTAGAATTAGAGTATTATTTACCTAAAATTACAAGCACAATGTACAGAAACTGAAAACAAGCCCAAAGCCATCTGAGATAAGCAAGAGACTTAGCCTATATCCTAAAATTACCTATACTTTTCAAGTGAAGGCAATATCTCTGTAGACACAACAGAAAAGTAAATGGGTATTCAAAAAGAACATCTGCAGCAGAACATTAGTCAAATAAATAATTTAGTGATAATTTATTTTTCACATTGCTTGTAAAGAAATAGATGATTCTGTCAATACCCTCTAACAATTCCAATGCCTTCAAGGAATTTAATGTGTTAAATTATATCACCACTTCCAAAATTAAAAAAGTTAAAACTTCTTTGAGGGCTAGATGAATAGGCAAAAATTTCAAAGTTCAAGAAGTCACAAGCTATAAGAGCTTATGAGAAAATGAACACATCTTTTGGTACCATTGGGGAAAAAGAATTTCCTTTCCTACACATGGTCCTTCTGGCTGGACTAAGAATCAAATTGGCATGAGACAGATTAACAAAAGAAAATTAACCTTAATTTTGTATGTATGGGGAATCCAAACAGACATAGAAATTCC